TAACTAAATAAACTAAACTAACGTACGTGTAGTAGTACGTACCGAAACTAAATTACTTACTTACTTACTATAATATACTCTACTACTATATTATAAATAATATATATATATATATATATATATATATATATATATATATATATGTATGTATATATATATATGTATATGATCTAATCAATTCTTTGTTAGAATAAACCATTTAAAAATGTTAACATACTAATTGAAATAACCATCTTTCTCTCCTATACCAAAAAGTCACGCAAGTGTTATTTTATAACTGCTACATCAAAAAGTTTCTTAACCATATCTACCAGGAAGTAGGGATGTAATAACCACCGAGTCAAATGCCTCGTCTCAAATTTTGCCAAACATAGTCTACTATATTTTGTTTATGTGTTACTTTGTAAAGTAATGCATACTTTCATCAATAAACAGGTTTTTTAATACACAGTGATAGTAAAAAAGTGATTTCAAGGTAACAACACAAAAGTTTAAGAAAGAAACAGCAAATGAAAAGTATTTCTTAGTCAATATGTTTTATTAAGTATAAAAAGTTTATTGAGTATAACAAATTGAATCACAAGTCTTTAAGAGGTTCTGATCCTTAAATATGTGGAAACACCAGTCATGCATAGATTACACTAGTTTTTGGAGATTTGAGATTCTTAGCCTAAAAATTAAGGAATTGCTTTTTAGACCATTTAAACTCCATCTTATTCTGTAAAGGTGCTCCAGTAACTTTAAAAAGCATCATTGTAGGCTGACTATTTTGACTTTCATGCCATTCCTCATGTCCACAGTTTACAGCCATTATCCCTGCAAGGTCTTCTGAAGAATGTATCAGCACTTCTTTTGCTATCTAAGAAACCTTCATTGTTGTACACTAAATGGATTATGGAAAGCCTGCAAGATGTGCTTTGAGCATGACAGCCTTATGATAGAGGCTTTTGCAGTAGAAACTACCTTGCAAGGCTAGTGAAGATACACAGTCTGCAGACAGAGTATGATCAGACATAGAGTGTAATGATACAGTGAAACTACAAAACAGTTTTAATATAATGCACTCAGCTTCTATGTGTGCCTCTATATATGGCTTAAAACCTAAAACTAGAACATTTTTTGGGGTTCTAAGTTCATTCTTCTTTTTTAAAAGTTTTCATTTTTCTAACAACATAAACCTTCAACAGACTCAAAACATCATCCAACTAAGTCAGAAGAGAATGTGTATATATACAAAAAAAACATAAATAAAATATATAAAGGCTACATGAAATGGAGTTAAGTGTTTAGAAATGAGCACATCCCATAAAAAAAAGATACTATTACAAAATATATGGTTATAAGCAAAATTTTCATTATTGCTACTTTTTTCTCAGATAGATGGTGTCATTTTGACTCAATTTTGTGAATGATCAATTCCATGGGACCCACCATTGTGCACCTGTTGACCAAGGGCAAAATAAACTTGAAGTTATTCTTCCTACATTTAAAAAAAATAACAACTTCAGTAACTGAAATTACAACAAAGGTAACCATTTGCTTATTTTCTTAAAAAAAAGATCACAAAGAAACTTTTTTAATTTCCAAAGTTGAGAATTCACACAAGCACCAACCATAAAAATGTTATTTTATATTATTCTACATAATCTGTAGAAAGTAAATTTCAAACCATTTAATCCTTTTTTTTGCAATGCAATAAAATAAATCATATGACAGGTGCAACAAATGGAAGAACCCAGGAATGTAAGGGTTAATGATAGCCTATCAGCCATAATAATAACACTAGTGGTTGAATTAAGTAGTTAGAAAGTATTTGTTCTGTTCATAAATTTCAATAATTATTTTCAAATGTTTACTACCTGTTGTAGGAAACACTCAATGATAAACAGTACCCAGATAAGTCTTTCTTGATAGGTATTTTAGTTTCTGTTGCAATTCTTATAATTTTGATATATGCAACACTACTTCTATGCATTCTAGCTTTACATATTGTACGAACATACAGTAAATAGCTGTACAAAATAGCTTACTTTCCTCATAAATACAAAGCTGTACAATAAATTACTGTTTATTTAGTAACCATAATTAAACTAAGTTAAGAAAATAACAATAAAATCGTTGATACACTGATAAAAATGGAATGTATACATTATTTTTCATATTATTTAAAATATTCTAATGCACAATGTATATATGTGTGTCCATATAAACACATACACACCTCTATCCACCATCTTATGCTTTAGACACTTAAATGTTTATGTCTATATATTTCAGGCATCTATATGCATAACTAATACTTACTTTTATGAGATCAAAGATGTCATCCAAATAATTTCTGATGTGTTGCTTGACAAAGGCTATCATTTGTCCTAATTGTTGAAACAGAAACTAAATGGAATAAAATAGCAAATGATGAATATGTACTTCACAAATTGGGGGGGGGGGCATATTTTTCCAGGTGCTTACCTGGAAAGGGAGGAACAATTAATATTACAAATTTTCAGGTTTTGCTAAGAAGAAAAAGAAATGTAAAATTATTTACACAATTTTAATACATTTCATTAAACAAAAATGAAATATAAAACACTCCAGCATCCTACAGGTTAATAATAGGGAAAGCTTTCAAAGGATAAATAGAATACACTCCTAATAATAAAATAATACATACTTCTCTGATTGTTCCATCAGATGTGCGAATGAAGTTGATAAATGACGGCATGACCTGTGGGACATATGGCACACAGCGTATTCCAAGACTTTTAAAAATGAAGGTTACAGCATGAACTACCATAGTGTGATGTTGAAATAGGGAAGAATCACGAATAATTCGCATCAATGTGGCTATAGTAATTGCTGGGTAGAACTCATCCAGAGAACTTGACATATTCACTAGCATTTCACTGGCTGTAAGTTCTGAAAAAAACAATCAATATCCAACACACAGTTCCAATAAAATTATTAATAAGAGAACCATATAATTAACATAAAATGCCATGAACAAACATTTGGCTTTACATGAGGAACTACATAAATATTGATCAAAAAAGTTTATTTTACTTTACTGGTAAATTTTGTCTGGGTCAATGATTCTAGTTTTTTCCTAATTTATTTTGTGTCCAGTTAACATGGTGTGTTCTGCAATGGCTGAATATTGTGTTTTCATGAGTTTTGTACTGTCTTTATGTTTTTTTATTCTTGTCACGAGTCTTCTTCCCGTTTATCCAATGTATGTTTCGTTGTAGGAACACAGAATTTTATAAATGACATTTTTGTGTTTTTCATTGGTAAGTTTCTGTTTGTTTTTTACCAGAATGGATCTTAATTTTGGAAGACAAGAAAAATTAAAGAATCATTTTACATTAACACAATAAAACCTTCACTAAACAGAGATTCTGGATTAGAGATGAGTAACCTGTGGCTACCATTGGTTGAATCTACATGAAATCTCTCCACCAATCAGAAACAGGGATAAACCAACCAATCATAACACTCTCTCCACAATACACCGGACTACTATAAAGATCGACTACACCATACACACACTGACCCAAAGACGAAATACTTTTGAAACCTCATCCACTACACTTGTGTTTCTACAACAGGTAGTTGCCATACGTTCAACTAAGTTTCATCATGCTTTACCTGAACAATCTATGAAAGAATGACACCTTCATCCTGAGAACATCCCTACATGATTGCAAGGTGTGACAAAACCTAGGTCATTATGACACCTTATCCTCAGCACATTCCTAGATGGTTGTGACATATCCTCAATGATGTAAACTCTCCTTTTCAGCTTGTCAACTTATAGTTTCTAGTAATGGTGCATAGAACCCATTAGTAGAGTAAGAACTGATGGCTTGATGTCTTAAGACAGTCAGAATAAAGATAACCAAAAAGATGGTAAATGTAGTTTCAAGAGTAAATTTTAAAGAATATTTTTACTAAGTAACAAGTACATTTTTAAATCAGTATAAAAAATTCAAGGACATATGTGATAAGCAGAGTTTTGGAAAATTCCTTTTTTTAAAGTTGAGTTCTTTTGTTTATAATAACACAGTGTTGTAAGAATAGCATTCTGATATTGAATGTTGAACTGAATGTATGGTACAATGGACAGTTTCTGAGGAATACATGTTTTGTTTATAAAAGCCTATTCTTGTTTATATAGCAGACATTAAAAAAAATGTACTCTTCTGACTTTTGAATAACTACATTGTTTTACATTTCGTCCTCATTCAGAGAATTTCAGAATAAGTTTGATAATATATAAACAATCATTATATTTTGAATAAATTCTGTGGAAAATTTCATATTTATCACTACAACAACTACAAACTTAAAATATTTACTTTCTGTGCATTAAGCATTTTTATGGTAACCAAGATATGAATAAGCTTAAACAGCCCTATGTGTAACATGTATGTTTGCTTTATATATGTTTGATCTAAACTGCAAAATTACATCACTTTGGCCTCACTTGATAATCACAATGTGTGTAATACTTCATCTGAAAAAGGCTGTCTAAAACAAGACATGTCACAGACATTTTCAAAATTCTGATTCCTCTAACATGTTCTGATATTTTGAATTAACAGTCTGATATTATAAAGAGCAGTTCCTCTTACACAAAATTTTACAAAATTCAAGCAAGATCAGAAAGAATCACACTGGAAACAATGGTTGTAACGAGCGATCCATCACTCACTTTAACACTAGAGAAACTGATATACATTTTACTTGTTTAAATTGCTGATAAGAAATAAAATGCTTGTTAAAAACTTAGGCTAAAATGTCAATAAAAACCTTAAAACTTAAACATATTTGCCATTTGTAGAATAAAAAAAATAACTAAATTGAAGAAGCTACATACGTGAACTACCAGGAAATAAAGTTTATTCAGTTTGTTAAGAAAATCATTTTGTTTAAAGATTAACATTAACTTTATTTTGTGAGTTTTACTAAATATACAGGTTTTAATAAATGTATATACATAAAAGATATTATACATTCTTTGAGATAATGAGAAATGAAATAATCGTTACTAATATTGTCTATTATCATAATCTAATGATTATGTTTGTATAACACTTATCCATTACTTAAAAATTATGTAAAAGAACACAAAATTTGCACCAAGCTGACCATTACCTTGACTATCTTGTGAAGAATCACTCATACTGAGTACAGCCCCAGACTCTCCCGAATGGTCAATGAGTCCTAGGTTCACTTTGTGTTTGTAAGGATCCAGTGCTCCCAAGAGGCCCAAAACTCTAATAGCCTATGGAGAAAAAAAATATTGTTGTTTTATTCATCTTCTCCTAGTTGTAAAAACAATGTGCATTATGTTCACAGTTTAAAAAAAGGTAAAGAAAACAATCTCAGTGGTGTTGAAAGTACAGTATATACCTTTTATAAGAACATCTAATTCATAACTTATATTCTACTTTCAACAAAGTAATGTTACAAAAAAGCAAGCATGTTTTTACCTCACGTCTTATTCCACTAGTCTGTTCAGTTTTCAGGAAATTCAACAGAACATCTAGGAGAGATGGAAATTTGCCATAGGGCTCAACCACATAGCCAGTACTTTCTACCAACCTTCCAAGTGTCCACAATCCAACCTTAGGAAGAACGGAAGAAACTTAAACTCAACAGAAACAAACATACTATAAAATAAGTAGGCAGAAGTAAACGGGCACTGACTGCTTCTTTAGTGGGACTTATGTTTAATCATTTTTATATATACTGTCAAACTAATAATACAGTTACAAAATATAAATATTTGTTATATTGCAGGGAAATAAATTTCAAACTACACAAATGTTGTCATCAAGATGGAGAAGCTATTTTCAATTAATTTTAAATATGCTTCAGAAGGAAGGAAGAAGTTAGAAGTATAATTTTATAACAGTGTAAAATCCTCCAAATAAAATACAATTAATTCATTCAAAATACTTTAGGTTAAGTTAAATCAAGTGCATAATGGTAAAACAGAAATTTTGTTTTCATTTACTTCCTGCTATTGCGGTTTGATTGAGAGGAAGTCGCACATTTATTTTCCAGCTCAAGTAAGATATAGCTTTGCTAGTGAAATTTAATATCACAAGTAGAAACTACAAAAGCACAATATGTTCATAGTGATGGGGGGGGGGTGATAAAGTGGGTGAAATGGCTTTTGTTGTTTATTCAAGCAAAAGTTTTATTACTGACATAGCATTTACAGTTTTAAATTTTTTACATTATACCAATCATTTTCTATTGAAGTTTTGATTAAATGTTTTACTTATCTAGAGCATGCAGAGTCAACAATCAACTCATTTTTTTTCTCTAATGACCAACAGTTCAGTCAGCTTATATGTTTTAACTCCTCCACTGTGTTTATTCCCTGTGTGGAACTTTTTTATTAATTTTGTTATAATACTGCAGTTTTTGTTTTATTTTTAAGATGTTTTTTTTATGAGTTTACAATACCATCATATTTATTTATGGGTTCACAATACCATCATATTTATTAATGAGTTTACAATACCATCATATTTATTTATGGGTTCACAATACCATCATATTTATTAATGAGTTTACAATACCATCATATTTATGAGTTCACAACACCATCATATTTATTTATGAGTTCACAACACCATCATATTTATTTATGAGTTTACAATACCATCATATTTATTTACGAGTTCACAATACCATCATATTTATTTAGGAGTTCACAACACCACCATATTTATTTACGAGTTCACAATACCATCATATTTATTTAGGAGTTCACAACACCACCATATTTATTTACGAGTTCACAATACCATCATATTTCTTTATGAGTTCACAACACCATCATATTTATTAATGAGTTCACAATACCATCATATTTATTTATTTATGAGTTCACAATACTATCATATTTACTTATGAGTTCACAATACCATCATATTTATTTACGAGTTCACAACACCATCATATTTATGAGTTCCCAATACCATCATACTTATTTATGAGTACACAATACCATCATATTTATTCCTCTTTTAGCAGCATTAAAAATAATTTGCTCTCGGTTAAGTAATTTATTCATCTTGATATATGTACAAGATGATAAAGGCATGGTCAATCCTTTTTTATCATGGCTAAACAGCAATAAACAGCTACAGAAGTAAAGCAGTGAACATCAGAGAAGCTCCAGGATCTAACCTAAAATTGCTGTGAAAGCACATTATTCTACTGAGAATATGCAACAGAGACAAAAGGATAGTATGTGCCATACATTCTACAGCACATCAAAAGTGCCTACAATAAAAAGGGTGTAAATTTATTTGGTCTTAGATTAATATTCAAAGGTACCCTTCCTTATTGACACACACACATTAGTAGAGTGTTGCCTGAACTATTAGTTGTTTGTATTGATTAACTAAAAAAAAAGGGAGAAGTAATATTCAATGACATAGAAGTATATGACAAATCTAAAAAAAATCACTTGAAAGTGCTCAGTCAAACAATTTAACTTAAGAGCATAATTTTGATCTTTATCCTTAATCATTTATATATGTAAAATAAAATAAAAAATCCATCCAGAGAGATTTTAATGTTTTTCAGTGTTTAATCCCAGAAAATAACACCTTAAAATAGTGTGTATCACGTGGATATTATAAAAGAAATCTTGCATAGTAATTGTTTGTGATCAAACAAAAACTTATTAAGAGGTATGTGTAATGAACTGTGTAATGAACTCTCTTTTGTGAGTTCAGACCAAGAGCTGCTGACAAGGATATGCTTTCATGTTCTCAAATATGAAGAAGTATCTCCTAATGCTCCATATTTTCCTTTTTCTTCACCTTAAATCTTCAGTTAATATTCTTTGTTACTTGTACATTCTCTGTACACTTATTAACCTTCTACTTTTGCACATCCTTTTTATATTTCTCTCTTTATTTACTTGTAAATTCTTATTCATAATTTGAATATTGTTTTTCCAACCAAGATTTTATTTAAAAGTGAGGAAAATAAAACAGGTTAGAAAATTACACAGTGCAATGTCCTACTTTTGGTTTGCATTATGTATATAGCAAATAGAGTAGCTCCACTTTGTCAATACTTTTAGTCAACTAAAAGTATGTTTTGTTCTGGAGGATAAGTTAATTTGAATAACCAGTTAAATTGATTAGTGAAGGGATCAAACAGTTTCTCTTGGAATTTTTTTGACTAAATGACAATAATGATAAAAATATTAATGAGACAGCAAAATTCTTGAATTTCACCATTTTTAATAATCTACTCTATAAGAACCACAGGTGATTTGCAGCTTTTCTTAATTACAGAAACATGACAGATTACAAGGCTAGCAAAGCATGAGAAGTTCGAGTTAACCCTGATGTGTGGCAGAGAAGGTTGGTCCAAGTGGAAGGTTGCTGCCAAATTTAATGCATGTCATCCAAAACAAAAAAAACAGAAAAACATTAGTCACAACATTGTTGGAAAGTTGCTAGCTAAATTTATGGAGATTGACAGTGTGAATGACAGGGAATAAATTGGCAGGCCACCCACAAATGAGGAGACACTAATGCTGTTTTGGCCAAGATGTATGCCAGCTCTTGGAAATCTTTCCATAGGATATCGATGGAACTTGACACTGCAAAACGACAATCCACAACATCTTGGTTAAGGCAAAGTGGCACCCATATAAAATGCAACTACTGTATAAACTCATTAAGAATGATCCAGACCATTGAGTGCAGATGTGTGGATGGTTCATTATGCAACGTGGGAAGAATGAGAACTTCCCCCCCAACTATTATTTTCAATGACAAGGCCAATTTTTATTTGAATGGACAAGTCAACAAACAGATCATGCTGATCATCAGACAACCCCCACTGGTTTACGAAAGTGAAAGAACAAGGTGCATCCAAAGTTATGGTATGGTGTAGACTATGGAATTGTCATGTGATTGGACAGTTTTTCTTTGATACAACAGCCACTAGTACATGATACTAACACGTGTTGCAGGAATATATGGTGCCACATTTGGAAAGTTGGGGCAATGATCTGTGTGTCTGGTTCATGCAGGATGGTGCCCCATTGCATTATGCAACAAACGTCTGAGCTTGGTTAAATGAAACCTTCCCACGACATTAGACTGGCAGTCGTAGTCCCCAGAAATGGGCCCCAAGTTCGAAGAACTTGGCTCCCATGGATTCCTTTTTCTGGGGACTGCTCAAGGCACATGTGCACATTGTAAATTATCATGTTTAAAAAATAAAATAAACCCTGTTTCAAATTTCAGGAAATTTCCTCTGTCTCTTCTTTCCACTACACTATAGCCTTTTTTTCCATTTTTAAGTTATTATAAATTTGTACATTCTATGACCATGGGTTGATGTTGTTATAGTGGTGAAAATAGATAAATAATATTTTGTAATAACTTCTATTTTTCTTGAGGGATAATAAAAAGGTATTAGATGTAGGTTTTTATTTGCTTGTTAGGAAGGTGACAAAGCTTATGTATAATTTCCTAGTTGGACATAAACTTATCTATTCCAAAATGTCTAATAGTGCTAAATTCAAATTACTTATGTGTAATAAAATCATATAAAAATAATTAGAAAAATTTCATGAAAAACTAGTATCACCTCTCGTTTGGCCAAAGAAGATGAATCTTGTAGCATGTCCAAGATGATTGGCATTAATTCATCCAACCACTTCCGCATCTCTGTTCCGCTCACCTTTTATTGAAAGTAAAACAATTTCTAATAAATTTAAAAAATTAAAATTAATTTGATCACCAGTTACTCTAAAATATACTGAAAATTGTTGGATATTTTGCAATTATCATAACAACACATAATACGTAATACAAAACTGACAACTGAGACATTTTACTTTGACATATTTTCAAAAAATAAATGTGCTTTAGTTCTCATAGTCAATATGTTTGGGACAAATTTTTTATCAAAAATTTATAGAGTAATTTGATGTAGGTCACATTCAAACCTTCAATTTGCACAACAAGCACTCCAGCTTTCACTGCTGGGCCACGTTGGCTTACTTGAAAGAGGGTGGGGGATTTTCCTATACATGCTTAATGATGAAGGTTCCCGACTTTAAGGACAAATTTCTCCCTGAAATCACCATATCAGGAAAAGCAGTCTTTGGATTCAGATTCAGAGCATAAAAATGAACCAGTGAAACATTATTTTAGGCAATTTTAGATGTGATGGTTCCTGAGGTAAAGAAGTATGATTATAAGATGACCAAATAATTCATATTATTTAAGATTATAAAATACACAGTTCTGTGTTCCCTTTAGGCATTCAAAAGAACATACGTATTGTAAGCAAAATTACTAATTTTCATTTACTTGAAAACAAACATAGTTCTTATTTAAAAGAAAAAACCAAAAAATTGACTGAGAATAAAGAGGTTATCAAATAATTAAGACATAAAAAAACTAGCAAACTCAAAATGTATTCACATTCAAAATAAAAAAAAATACCTGTGCTTGTTCTCCAATAGCTGCCAGTACATTGATCACTACACCTGGGTTTGGATCCTGGTCTTTTAGTTTTGGGATAAGTACCTAATAATAGTTTTTGGTGAAAATTACTTCATGCTGTAATAACATAGTATGCAAATTGAAGCTTTCTAAAACTTGCAAATTAAGTTTTATGATGTTTTTTGGTGAGATGGTGATGATCTTCCAGAAAAGAAAAGGTATAAAGGGAACACAACAAAGTATTTCTAATAATATCAATAGTGTTAAATGTAAGAAATCTAAAGAACATATCTACACAAAATAGCATCCAAATATTACCATGCAGCATCAGCTAAACAAAATTTACAAAGCTCAAGTACTCACTTCTACAATTTATAAGTAATACATTAGTAGCCTAGATGGCATAATTGTTGTTCCACTGTTATCCTACAATACATCTTGTAATTTTAAGCTAGATCATATATCTCATGTCTGTAGTTTAACAGATAAAGAAACTCTCAACTTTTTATAATTGCTTAGCCTAATCCAGCAAACTAAATTTTCAAACTTTTTCATAAAAGAGCCAAGTATTTACTAAAAGCTTAAAAGCTATAGTAAAATATAATACAACTACAGTTTTTTTCCCCATTGATACCTAGCCTCTTTTGACATTTTTTTTTTCAAAAACATCAATCATTTGTTTCTGAATGGCAATGATATGGTCTTCTTGACACCAAGTTTGCCAAGTATGAAATGTTAAAATTATATTTAAAAACATTTGTGTCAAACTTTTGACCATTATAATTTTTTTAGCCAAGGAATTTATCTTTTTTCCAATGTGAGCAAACAGCAACTACCAAATGTCTATCATATTAAATGAAGGGTAGACTGAAAAAATAGTTCAGAGAAAAATCAAAACTAGTTTAAAATAAGAAAATTAATCTTGTGAGAAAATAATCTGTTAATTGAATGTAATCAATTCATAAGCCCAACAATTAATCAATTGGCAAATTCCACTAATCATCCAGCTCTACTGCTCTTATAACATTCCATAATCTTACTCTGAAAGTTTAAAATTCAGTAAGATGTAATTTAGTCATACAGATTTTAAAAATTTACTTTTTACTAGAAACTAAGTTTTTCATTTTAATAACTTCATAAGTCAAAAATTCAAAGAGATGTACTTCATATTAATGAATTTGTTGGATATACAATACTTTTTGTTTGGTTGATTTAGTGATTTAATAGTTAATAATTATTTAGTTTCCAAAACAAGTGTGTTAAAAGTTGATTATTTTAAAAGCGATAGTTATGACAAATTTTGTTACGTAATTTGGTAAGAGTCGTATGATGTATATGCAGGTTGATTATTTTATTAAGCTTTAGTAATATTTTTGACGTCACATTACTCGATTCTTCGGTATTTTCCTCATTGCCTTAAACGAGTATTGTTACATCATAGTGTCTCCTAGTTTGTAGAAAGTTTGAGGCCTCAGTTGGGCAAGCTATATATAAAAGCAACCGAGCGAGTGCAAGAAAGTGAAGTTCAGTCAGAAAAAACTTAGAAACCATGAAGTTAGCCACCGTGTGAGTGATTAACCTTAACAAGTGATTTCTATTGATAGGAAGAATAATTTGTCTTGTCAATTGGGTTCTAAAATAACTGAACCAGCTCGTGTGGATTTAAAGCACTGGATACAACTGTGATAACCAACAAAAGAAGTTAAGTCAGAAAAAGTTAAATGAATGAAAGTGAAGATTAGCTGTGTGGTTGTTAGTTTAGCTGTAAAGGGTGATATTCTAAAGTGAGTTTTACAGTCTAACACAGATAAGGAGAATAATTTGTCTTGTCAATTGGGTTCTAAAATAACTGAACCCATCTATGTGGATACTGATGAAAAGAGACAATTACTAAAGTTCGAGATACAATTGTGGTAACGCATGAGATAACGCAAGTGAATTTATCACAGATTGTATAGAAAGAAACAAAATAGAGAAAATTAATTAGTTTTGTCAATTGGATTCTAAAGTAACTGTACTTTTGACAAGAAAAGAGAATTATTTAAAGTTTTAGATACAACTGTGACATCCTATAGTGTAAAGGATTTTTGTACATCGTTTGACTTGTTTTGAATATATTGAAGATTGTGTGCTGTCCATTTCTTGGTCGAATTTATCGCCAACAACTTACAGACACCTACTTTAGAAGAATCCCGGCCCCTATTCGTATATAAAACCATGATAGAAGTATGCACACAATTCCAATCTTTAACAAACATACAACTTTCTCACCTTTAAAACAGGTTCCATGTATGGTCTTATAAGACGAGGTGCATTAGCCACCAAATGTCCTAACATCTTGGCACTTTGTTCTTTGTTACGTCCCACACCTGAATGTTCCAATTCTGTAAGGATCTAGTGACGAAAAAGTATAATTGGTCATAAATTTAGATCTCTTTACTGTAAACGCTATATCTTTTTGTATTTTGCTTGAACTACACCTTAAGTCAGTATCCCAATATTTTTTTTTCTAACTGACCTGAATAAGAACTTTCCGAAGGGAAGGCATAACATAAGCTGGATTAATGTCCCTCAGTCTTCCTATAGTGCATAATGCAAGTTCTCGTATTTCAAATACCTCATCATTCAAACAGACAAACAGAGCATTCAAATTTTCTGCTTGAGCAAGATGTCCATCAAATCTTTCATCCAAAGATGCAAGAACACAATATCTCACATCAGGATCTATGTCAGAAATATAAAAATCACAAAACAAATTAATAAGTCATAGGTACTCTTAACTCCTACTCTTTATTAGTAAATTTGTGACAAAATAATCAAACTTGAAGAACCACTAATAAAAACATAAATAAAAAATGAGAAAGTATATAATGCTTATTAATTAATTAATTTTTATCATACACCGAGTTATTATAATTTTTTTTATAAATAAAACTTTCTATTGGAAGTAGTGAACAAATTTAAAAAGGTAAGTTACTGAAAAATCTAATTTCAACTCAGTTTACACATGAACTTGAAGTAAACAAAATTATGTCAAAATAAGTTGAGGAATTGTAAATTAACATTAATTTACACCATAAATTAATTTTTACAAACTTATAATTCAAATGAACAAAAAAACTTAAGTGAATAGAGTTTAACTCTAATTACTAACTTGTTTACAGTCTACTCAATAACAAGTTACACTATATTGATTTAACTCTAATTACTAACTTGTTTACAGTCTACTCAATAACAAGTTACACTATATTGATTTAACTCTAATTACTAACTTGTTTACAGTCTACTCAATAACAAGTTACACTATATTGGTTT